GGGGAGGGGGCAGCGAGGCGCGGCAGAGCCGGTCGACATCAAAGCCCCCTCCTGTCCCGGCCAACAAGGCGCCGCGTCCTTACCACCGTGTCCTGCAGCGTATCCTTAACTTTACAAAAACGTTTACTTCACCTCATTTTTTTCTCTGCAATTTTCTGCAATTTTTTTCTTCAATCTATATTTTGGCCTTTTTATAGAATTGCAATTAAATGTAGCTAAGTGCGACTGTTCTGTTTTTCAGACATTCCCTTTAGTTTTGCAGTCACCGTTTTGCCAGTGTACGTGAGCGACGGGCGCAGAGAAGGTTCCGTCGTCCTGCCCTGTCCCGGTGATGAGGCATTGTTTGAGTCGGAGCACGTACGGGCGCACCTTACGGACCTTTCACCCCCATTGAGGGCTTGACCAGCGAGACGACAGATCTCATTCCGATCACTTTGACAAAAGTGTTAGGAGTATAGGGCTACAAACCGACAAAATTTCTTAAACAAAATTGACCCGAGCAGTGGACGGAAGGCAGTTTTTAAAACAGATAGACAATTAGGGTGTGACCTTAATTTTTTATGAGATATCTTAAACAATATGTCACCTTGCTTTTGCTACATCAACGCATGGTTTTAGTGTGTTTTGCCGACAAAATACTAACTCGGACGCAGCGGCAACATTTATTGGCTTCGCGTCGCTTTGGCACGCAGGAAACCGCAGTCCTGCGCCCCCTCCCCCCATTTTCCGCTCACCACTACGGCTCTACTGTTGGGTGGGGTCACCGGCCCTATAGGTGCATCAATGGTCCTTGGGTGCATCAAACGACAAGCAAAAAAAATTAAACGAACAAAACATAAAAACAACTGAACAGCAAATCAGACACGTGTATTCAAGAGGCGCTCGCGCTGAAAAGCGCGAAAGACAGGTTGAAATGATTAATGAAATAAATTTAACGGAATCGAACTTTCATTGCGTGCACGAAAAGATTCATGGAGCGGTCCTCAATCTAGCTCCGTTTTCGCGCGCAGATTCCATGCAAAACTCTCAAAACAATGCCCGGTCGCCGGAAACTATGTGGCCCCCCTTCGAGCCAGACGCCACCCAAGTAGAACTGACTTATTCATAAAGGAGAAAAAATGAGGAGCAAAAATGTACCGTGGAAGAGCTTGGAAAGGAGGGGGCTTATTGGGGACTCGATTATGGCGGCACCGTTGCCTGACAATGGGGCCCACCCCCAACGGACCTTGGCGCACCGCACTCCAAACAGTGCGAAATCGAATAACGGGTCGTCTTTAAAATGAGAGATAAAACATGTAAGATAGTTCTGGGGAAAGGTGCGTGCGATTTGAGATGACCACGGTGGTGGGCAGCCAAGTCAAAAGCATTGAGTGCAAAATATTAAAAATAAATCAACAGTAAAAGTTCCGGGGGTCACAAGGCTACTGGTGCTGTGGCCACCTGAGGCCTGACGACCTGACGCCAGCCCGCCGGCCAGTCCACTACTAAAGTAAACGGAATCGAGGCGGAGGGGTCCCTGGAGGAGCCGCGCTGGACCGGGGCTGCGGCCCCCGCTGCCCCCGGCCGCAGCAGTTTTATTGGTCTATTAGAACAGCTTTACATGCCCCGCGGCGGCGTAGAGGCGCCCCTGTCCCGCCGGGGCACGAGGGGCAGGGGCCGTCCCGGGTGTTCTCGGGACTAGGGGGGCAAATGGAGCTGGTTGCTGATCTGAACCAGGATTGACCCGCTCGTGTGCTTCGTTTTGGAAACTTTTCACTTTTACATGTTTTAGGAAATGATTTTGTTTTTCTCGTAATGGTGGTCACATTGATTGGTCACGACTGCCCGCCAAAACATCGTTGATAATTGTTAATAATTATCAATTTATAACAATTGTGCTCGTAATCTATAACTGACCGAAACAAAAGTAGGACGTCGCATATTTAAAAGTCGTGGAATGATCATAACTGCCTTTTGGAAGCCCGTGAAAAGTCCCACAGGTTTTTAGTTAACACTTCTCCATCAACCATCTAAAGGAAGGCGCAACGTCCCATGACTTTTGTTTGACCAGTTCAATTATTTTAATTATTTAAGGTAAGAAAATGTGGTTCAACTTACCCTCCCACTTCTCGGCGAGGCACAAGGTAACGTCCTTACCTGGAAACACAAAAACACAAATTTTAGAAAGAAATTGACAACAGAAGCAAACGCATGCTTGATCTATTTTACACATTCGACCCTTGGCTCGTGAAAACTGAGCAGCAAATTAAATGCACTGTTCATACACCTCTGTCCTTAAACTCGCTTTGTCCATCCTCGCTCTCGCCAAGTTTCCCGCCTCTTTATGTCCAACTGGACTGAAGGACCCCGTCAGGGCCTCGGGACGTATCAAGGGTGTACTATAGTGCAATACAGTAGTAGAGTGTGGCGCGGCCGTATAGTGCGAGGCCGGGTCAGTACGCGCATTAGGTATGCGTCCCGCCGGTACGAGCGCCGGTGCGCGTACCCGGGCCCACCCAACGACCATCAACACCTGCATTTAACGAGGTATCATTTGCCAATATGGACTGACCCCACGGCACTGGCCTCGCAAGCCTCTTTCTGTGTGACATTCCAGTACACACAAATGTCCTTTACCTCACACTGTTACAAGTAGTGCCGGTACCGGTTGGTTGCAAGCAGCGGTCAAGAGGCATCCTGCACAACGCACCACAGTTTGATGGGGATGCCGCACAACGAATGAATCCGCAAAAGCGTGCCCCCCCCCCCCTCTTCCCCATGTTTCGCGTGACAACATGACTGGGAGGCATGCCGCTACGGCGCCAAGGTTTTTTTTTTACATAAAAGATTAAAATCTCCGTGTAGCGCCCAAATCTCTTTTTATTCTGCTGTATTTCCTTTTATTCAGAGCCGCCCAGTGTGGTGCGACAGTGAGAAGAGGAAGCGAGAGGGCGAGAGGCAGAGCCCGAGGGACAGGTAAAAGGAAGGGGGGGGGGGGGCACAATAAGACGACAAAGTTGCTTCCAGTTCCCCTTCACATTTTCACCTGAACTAAATTTATATGCGCGGTTTCTTTTTGAATGGTGACATTACTAGGAAGTAAGCTAGGTCATGGAGAACTCTTTGACACCCGAATAAGTAAAGAGAAGCGGAAGGGAGCGAGACAGGCCCGACAGCACCGTCCGACCGTCGCCACTGTCACGAAAGGTGTGAGCCGAACTGCCACGGAGGCGGCCTGCCCACTTATCAGGCCGAATCACACTGTCATAAAGACGCTAAGAAAACAATAATAATAAAACGACCCCATTGTCGCTTCATTTTAAATTCCGTCAGTTCGCGCGCTCTCTATCAGCACAACAACACGCCCTGCGTTAAGGTCTCCGGTCTGGGCGCGCACGCGCGCTCTTGAACCAAATAGTTCAAGATTAGCAAAACTGCAAAGTCGGTAGCACAGTTGTGTCAGAATTTTATCAGACGATATTTTTCCTACACTAAAAAAATAATAATAATAAAATCGTATGACGGACGCGGCACGGCGGCAAGCAGCCGATCAGCACGGCTCGACTGGTCCTGACAGAACCAATGTGTCACTGCTGCCGGCTGGTCCGGACCAGATCCGAGCCGAGCCACGGGATTTTGATAATGAGGCAGATTCTGTAATGAGGCCGATCAATCGACAGGGAACATCGAGATCTCGATGTTTCAATTTAATCAGCGGGCGGCAGACAGGCGGCAGCCTCTCTTGGAAGACCTCGTGCGACACGGCGTGTGTGTGTGTGTGTGTGTGTGTGTGTGTGTGTGTGTGTGTGTGTGTGACAGAGAGAGAGAGAGAGAGAGAGAGAGAGAGAGCGTGTGCGTGAGAGGAAAAGGACAGCAAGGTGGCGGCAGGCCGAGCTAAGCGAGGGATATGTAAATGCCCTGAAACAAAAACATTGCACCTTCAACTGCTCCAAAGGAGGGAAGTCTCAAATGACCAAGACAGCAGCATTGCAGCCTTCCTGAAATAATCACCCAGACATGTGACTTAAACAGTAAACGGAAACGAAATGGAATAAGTTGAGGATAAGGCATGTAAAAGCACCCAGTCTTTCAGGTGAGTAAGGAAAGTATAATAACTAACAATGATCTAATATTATAGTTGATTTTAGCCTTTTTAAGTTCAACCTGAATAACGTTAAAGAAGGGCAATTTGATATGTCTTGGAGGGGGGGGGGGGACGTGTAAAGAGACCGCGGCCCGACGGAGAGACAAAGGCCGCCAAAAGACAAACACACAGAGCAAGCGCGCATGCGAGGCTGGAGCACGGCAGGAAAGGGGAGAAAAAACCACACGGCAGAGGATGAAACAAAAATAATACAAAACAACAAGAACAACAAGAACCGGGGCCGGTGTGAAGGTGCGTGGAAGGTGTGACCCAGCACCCGAAGGCACCCGGCGCCAAGAGAGACAGAGACAGAGAGGGGGGG